AATTCAAAAAATTTTGAATCTGTGACTCACAAACGATATGACATGGCCTTTCACCTGTGAACCGTATAGAAAGGGTTAAAGCCAGTTACGTCTGTTATTATTTTGTGTTCTTCAGTGCATATTTAAAATGAGTGAAAATTGTTAATGTATTAGTATTATCATTACAAAAAGTAGGTGAGCTTACATAAAAAAACAAAAAATCAAATTTAAGTATAAACTTCTCGTTTTTAATGTAAAAGTAACTAAAATGTAAAAATTAGAAAGTGACTAGGTTAGGTAATGAAATAATAAAATTTCTCCATGGGGTGTTCTCATGCCTTACATCATTCAGTAACATAACTTGAGTTACACATTCACCATATTATTTAAACTTATATCTTGAGATTATTAATTACACATGGTTCAAAAAAACAATAAATAAAAACAGATGTAAACTGTTATGAGCCTCAAGCTATTTATGTATAACAACTGTAATTTTCTGTTACAACTTACAGTTATTATACAAAGAAAAAAAAAGATAATATTGTGGTGATTACAAAGTCAGTCAAATCAACCAAGTCTATATAGAGTTTTAGTAGATAAAGCATAAAATATAAAGTTTTACTGAAAAACAAACGTTTGATATGTACTTAGAGGTTATGCACACAAAATTTGAAATCAGAAAAAGATTTTTAATCTAAACCTCTTTTGGACCAAAATCAATATAATGACAGAAAACATTAAGTCATTAAAAAAAAGTTATTTGGTGTTTTGAATGCAAAATATATAGCATATAAGAAACTCTCAACTCCAGGTCACAACACTGAGTGCATGCCAGATATCTCAAGTTTTCACATATAAGTAAATGCTGTTAAAATTGTATGTACCATATATATGACCCATGTGACAATAAGAGGTTGTCATCTTGCACACAAACTAGTTAAAAGTCTGAGTAACACCCAACTCCATATATTACACAAACTAGTCAGAAGTACGAGTAAAACTCAAATCCGTATATTATATAAACTAATCAGAAGTCTGAGTAACACTCGACTTAATATATTACACAAACTAGTCAGAAGTCTGAGTAAAACTCGGTTCCATATATTACACAAACTAGTCAGACGTCAAAATTAATTATCCATTATTACTCGGTAGGCTAACTGGTTAGTTTACTCACCACAAAAAACCTAAAATATATGGTGTATGGATAAAGTGACATACCATCCAAATTGATTATCTGTTATTACTCAGTGGACTAACTGGTTAGTTTACTCACCACTAATAACCTAATATACATGAGGTGTTTGGATAAAGTGACATACCATCCAAATTAATTATCTATTATTACTCAGTGGACTAACTGGTTAGTTTACTCCACACTAATAACCTAAACTATATGGTTTATGGACAAAGTAACATACCATCCAAATTAATTATCTATTATTACTCAGTGGACTAACTGGTTAGTTTACTCACCACTAATAACCTAAAATATGTGAGGTGTATGGATAAAGTGACCCAAATACAGCTTAGTTACTACCTTACTAATAGTGACTGTATTTTACAAAATACTAGTCCACCAAGACAGGTCACTTTCTAAAGGCCAGTTTTATATTACTGGATACAGTAACATGAGTGCATGTGGACCACGTCAGTGCAACTTTTGTAATGTTATCCAGGCCCGGCTGAAATATCATTATAGTAAAAATAATAAATTTGTATAAATGTATAATGTTATGAGGATTAAGGTATTTAGACTAAACATTTGTGTTTTTGTGTTATAAATTGTAGTCATTCTAGAACAAAAAAAGAAGCATAATTTATATTTATTTCCTAATTTTTATGGTTGTTACGAAAGCAAATGTTTGAAATGTATTTAGGATGTTTAAGAGATTACATAAATAATATTTGAGATTTGTGGGACGAAGAATAGTTTTTAATCCTAACATGAAAATCACTTCACACTCAAACTAGTAACGAAATAGACTCGATATTTTCACAAGCAAATCTTGAGTAAAAATACTTGATTAAAAATTCTGATTGTTTTTTTACAAAAGACTTGTAATGTTTACTAAAAGTCTACCTAATTTTTTCATACAGAATTAAAAGTTATAGTATAAATATTTAATGTGTACATATGTGTAAATTACCTCATGTATTTTGTACTGAGCCCGTCGCGAAAGGGCTAAGGCTATCTGCTATTGTAACACAGTCTTCAAAGAACTGTGTGTTAACATTTTCAGCATGACTCCCTCGGACCAACCTCATAACTATTTTGTGCTTATTTTAGTTTTAATGCTATATGGTTTAAATTAGTAAGCGAATGTAAACGAAATTTGGCAGATTATCGGTAAACCTTACAATGCTTTCATACGTAAAATATAAAAAAATTTTTATTTACTCTTAAAGTTTGTAAAGCAATGTTTCTCTCATGCCTTTTTTCTTTTCACATGTTGCCTATTTATCATGCAAAGTAATTGTTATATTAAAAATACTCTTATGCATCAGAAAACTTTCAAATTTCACATGTGAAATCTTTATAATGTCCAGATAGGTATCAAATGTTTCTGAAGAAAAACTTCTTTAGAAGTATGTCATGTATGAAATAATAGCCACAGAAGCAGAATAATGAAGAAATAAAAGTTGTATTTTTAATAACATAATTAACATATAGTGAAATACAGTCAGTATTGACATTTAAGACACTGTCATACAGTGGAAACTTGAGTAAAAATTCTAGTAAATATAACAGAATAAACTAGCTACTAAACTTACTTAAAATTAAACTGTATGATTAGAACTGAAATCATAACCCAATAATTAGTACCTAATGAAAATATGACAGTAACATCAGATTAAACTCATTTGGGGTTATCAACAAAGAGAAAAATAGCTAGTCAAAATATGGAAAAAGATAATTAGCAGATTATTAACTCTTTGAGCTATAGATATCAGATTGTGATAACAAACACAGAAACTGCTGTTAAATGTGAAACTACAACAATATGAAATGTGAAATATTTTAAATAAATAATGTTTTGATCAGTGTACATGTGGATTGAGTTAACATTTCCATTTGAATGATGAGGTTTAAGTAGCTCTATGTACACTATGTTGTGCTACGTAAAATTAACGTTTTATATCCTCTGCTGTTTGTATGATAATCATGGCTAGTAATGAAAATCAAGTACTTTCTCAAGCATTAAAAAGGCTTGAGGAATGTACAGATAAATAAGAACTCTATAACTCAAGTAAAGGAAGAAAAGGTTACAGCACACATACAACCAAAATAACTAGCACATCATTATAAACATACAATAAAGTATAATAATACAGTTAGATTATTTTGTTCTTTTTATAAATCTCTACTTCTTAGCTTAATTTACACAAGTGTTTGATGACAATATACATAATTAATGTTTTCGTTATTATATTTGATAATTATATTATTTTCATTATTATATTTGATTCCAGTGCAGAGACAAAGTTTCAGATTGATTATGATGTCTACTTACCTAACATATCCTTTCGTAAATCAATTCCAACAATTCCGAGCCTTAGAGTGGTAGTCACATGGTAAGAAGTTCTAAATATTATACAAGTTTCTATGTTTTACATGTTTTTGAATACCGTTTTTAAAACTTTACTGTTAAATGTTAACTGAACATTATCAAGCTTGACAGCTCTAACTGGTAATATTTTAAACCTTAGTCTGACATGGTTAATATTTTATCTTCGTATTTGGTAATTCATAGAACATTCCAAAACACACTTATCTCCTCTCATAGTTTATCCCAATGAAAGTTTCTCTTCCCTGCCCATATATACATTGGTTTAAAGTATAACTCTCATTCTCCCCACTATATCATCCATAGCTATTTTAATCTCATGACTCTCTCCATCTACGTCAGTGCATCCTCTATACCAGATCCATATATAGGCTCATCTTTATTACTTCTTATTTACTTTTTTCAATGGCCGCACAGGAAGTCATGATCCTTGTGTGGAATTGTGTTAATTCTAAGACCATCAAGAGGGGCCACGCACAACCCGACCAGATAGCAAATAGTCATCTCTTAACTGGAATTACGAGAAGATTCCCAAGTAGGTTGGTCCTGCTTCTACCATACATGTGAGAAAACCATCCAGGGTTATTGGCACGAGGGCATCCAGCTTTGCCCTTTTCTCCTTGAATGGAATAACAAGTACAAGCATCACTCATAAGGAATAACCTCTGTCCACCTCTCCAGCAACTGGAGCGCTAAGGACTCTGATGCTCCACTAGGAGAAATTTAGTGATACTTGCAATGGTGAGTCCCAAGGAATGATGCTCCAGAGACAGTGCAATAGCTGAACCACGTTCTCTATTTTGGAAAGCAAACTGACCCTGATTTATTCAATCGAGAGGTCAGCAGGGATGTGCAAAACCCCTTTAGCTTTACTAATGATAGTCCATGAGTGGCAGTCCAGTAGTGTATTTGTGTTATAACTGTGTACCACTTGGAAAGTGCACAAGATGGTCTTATAGAACACTCCATCTAAACAGAGCTTGTTGCTACCAGGAAAATTATTGATTGGTCAACTGGTAGCTTGTGCAGAGTTGGAAATAAGCTTACCTGACCAGGCAATACCTGCCAAATGACAAGAATGTCCCTGAGAACGAGAACACAAAATAAATTAAGTTACTTTTTTTGTAGTAACCAAAAGAATACGTTGAAAACGTAGTAATAATGAGGAAGAGAAATCTGCAGTAATCACATAAAACCGTCGTCGTAATTTCTAAACCTAAGTGTTACAGAATGTTACAAGAGAGTCACAAGAAACACAAAAGTGGATACACCTTCCCCCAACCTGAAGAAGTGCAGAACACAACAAACCGAATTCAGAATTATGGGGCCATTCATGCCTCAATCAACCTGAAGCAAACAGAGATCATTCAGCCTGGGATTACGAACCTAAATCCTAACTCCTCAACTTGAGTGGCAAGGCAATACCTCCTGCTCCCAGAATTACAAGGAGGATGTGGAACAAACGAAGTTCAACCAATGGGTACCTTTAATATCATATCAATATAATACAGTGATATCACACTGCAGTCCACATGCCCTAGCCATCACATCTTCGATCTAGCTTTGGGTCCACAGCCCAAAAATTCCAATCACGAGACATGGAACATTAACTGCATGGTTGGAGACTGAATGACTCTCATGATCATGTACAATATTTCCAGACCAGATGTGTCTGGTGTTGCATTAAGAACCAGTTTTGAAATAGATGTCCCTCCTTGTATGTTTCTTCTCACAATGTTATGGATTCCACACTGTGGCCAGTTTGCATTTACTGCCCACATTTTCAGTTTCACATTATCTGGCTGAAGAACATAACTGTTTCAGAAGTAGCATGCTACACTATGTCTTAATTTGCAAACTGTTTTCTCAAAGAAGTTGCTTTCTGTGTGGATCTTACCCTCAGCAGCCCCCTCCAACTTGTCAATTTGGGATTCTAGAGGTGGTGTGTTTCAGAAGTTTACGTTTTCCTATACTGAAAATATTTTTCCAATAATACATTCCTCTTCTCACAATATCTGATAATCTCATCAGTCTCGAAAAGTGGATAAGAAGTAATAACAGGGAGCTTATATAAGGATCTGGTTTAGAGGACACATTGACATAGATGCAGAGTCACGAGATTATAATAGCTATGGGTGATATAGTGAGGTATAAAGACTAGCCTATATTATGTTAGTTGGTAATGTAACTGGACACTGTTAGACATGACTAGCCTACATGATGTTAGTTAGTAATGTCACTGGACATTGTTAAACATGACTAGTCTACATGATGTTAGTTGGTAATGTCACTGGACATTATTAGATATGACTAGTCTACATGATGTTAGTTGGTAATGTCACTGAACATTATTAGACATGTGTTCAGTGACATTACCAACTAACATGATGTAGGCTAGTCATGTCTAACAATGTTCACTGATATTACCAACTGACATGATGTAGGCTAGTCATGTCTAACAATGTTCAGTGACATTACCAACTACCATCATGAAGGCTAGTCATGTCTAATAATGTTCAGTGACATTACCAACTAACATGATGTAGGCTAGTCATGTCTAACAATGTTCACTGATATTACCAACTAACATGATGTAGGCTAGTCATGTGTAACAATGTTCACTGATATTACCAACTGACATGATGTAGGCTAGTCATGTCTAACAATGTTCAGTGACATTATCAACATCATGTAAATTAGTTATGTCTAACAATGTTCAGTGACATTACCAACTAACATCATAAAGACTTGATTATTAGACATGACTAGCCTTCATGATGTTAGTTGGTAATGTTACTGAACATTGTTAGACATGACTAGTCTACATGATGCTAGTTGGTAATGTCACTGAACATTATTAGACATGACAAGTTCTTATGATGTTAGTTGGTAATGTTACTGAACATTGTTAGACATGACTAGTCTACATGATGCTAGTTGGTAATGTCACTGAACATTGTTAGACATGACTAGTCTACATGATGCTAGTTGGTAATGTCACTGAACATTATTAGACATGACACGTTCTTATGATGTTAGTTGGTAATGTCACTGGACATTGGTAGACATGACTAGTCTACATGATGTTGATAATGTCACTGGACATTGTTAGACGTGACTAGCCTACATGATGTTGATAATGTCACTGAACATTGTTAGACATGACTAGCCTACATCATGTCAGTTGGTAGTATGACTGAACATTATTAGACATGACTAGCCTACATCATGTTAGTTGGTAATATGACTGAACATTATTAGACATGACTAGCCTAAATGTTTTTAATTTACCTGGTCATGCATGTTTAGTCTTTATTTCAGGGCAGAAGATGCAGTCCCTGCTTTGGCAGATGTTGTTGTCTTGCAACGGAACCTCTGTGATAATGTACCTCTACAGTTTGCAGTTGTAGATAATGGTGATTTAGCTTTCTACTCTTTTCATGATGTGAGCCTTCCATCTTACATCCCTTTGTCTTGGTGACAAGTAATCAGGAGAAAATACTTTTAAAAATAAATAAATATCTAAGAATTGTATAAGAAAATGTTTTGAATGGAAGTATCTTCACAGAGAAGGAAAATGTAATCAACATTGGATCTACGTTGCACATAAGTTGTATGTATGCGTATGTTCACACCAGATCGACTAACATTTTAAAGTTTAACTCTCTCGCTATGTGCTTGGTCAATTCAATTTAAATCTTAATCCCAAATTGACCTTTAGAATTTCCATAATATAATTTTTAACATGGTTTATGTGTCTTCATAAAATTTTTAAGGGCATTCAGTAAGCATTTCAAGATTTTTATAGACAAAAATTCAGAATTTTTAATTAATTTTCACTAAAAACTTTTTCCATGAATAGATGGTGTAAAAAGACTTGACTGCTCCAAGTGCCAGGTGATTTTCATGTTAATATCAAAAACACTTTTGTTCATGTGAAAATTGTCAAAATTATTTGCATAATTAAATGATTTTTTTTTTCAGTAAAACTTTATATTTTATTTGTTCTTAGTCCTAACTCTATACAGAGTCAGTCAAATTGACTGACCTTATAACCACTATAAAACAAATACAAAATAAATGACCAAATATTACTTCCTAGAATGACTTCAGTTTGTAACAGAAAACTAGACTTGTTTATCCGAAATAGCATAAAGCTAGTTACAGTATACATCTGTTTATACTTAAATGTTAGTGTTTTATTTCCCATTGAACCCTGTGTAACTAACAATCCTACCATATCTTACTTTCAGATTATGTAATGCAGAAACTACTAGTGAATTGCTCACGATTGTATGACATGATAACTTTTTATTATTATTTTTTTTCTTTATCTAGCCTGATCTAACCAGTAAGTTTCTAATTTTTAAATTTTAGTTACTTTTATAATAATAAATAAAGAATACACATTAAAAAGAAGAAATATAATTATTATCTGGGTCTTCTTTTTTTTTGTGCTGTTGACTGTCAATGAAATTTAACCCTACTATTTGCTATACTAATGGTAGTAGTGCATTAGATAATTTTTATTTAATTAAATAATACATCTCAGAGCACAGAATAATAACCCATAAAATGCAGACAATGTCCTATAACTAACTAATTTTTATGGATTTACAACTATGCAATATGACCTTTTAAAAATTCAGATAAGTTCATGGATGTGTTTTCTGTGGGAATAAAATTTGAAGTGGAAGTGAAATAGACTATTCTCTGTACAGAAACTAGTGTAGTATAATATTTCATTTAATAGATTAAAACACTGGCTTTCAATTGGTTATAAAAACTATTGTATTAAATGTCAGAGAGAACTATTGGCAATTTATGAAAGAAAGGATTT